TATAAAGTGGGTCATTACTTTGTCTACCTCGTTCACTGGTTTCTTACCATATCTACTATGTCAGCCATTGTGACTATGAAGATGGCCGCCATGGCCCAAGTGTTGCGAGCCCAGCGCGTGTGATCAATCCAAGTGGAGAACGACACCAATCTCTTTGGAAATACCTTTGAAAACAATACAAAAAAAAGCTACTTAAACATCCAATCACAGCAAAAGTTGTGGAAAGGCCTGTGATCTAGTCACAGTGTGCATGTGTTCAGTTCAGCTGCGTGTACAGTGTTTGAGAAAACAATCGATTTAATCCACAGCAACGTGCTTTTAAAAAGCAATAAATTCTTCAGTTGAGCCATATGGACTCATATGTCCTTCATCTGTTGTGTGTGTGACCGTCTCGCCTTTCAGAAACACATTATCTCTGCGCTTGCTCAATCTGTGTGTGTGTGCTTGAGAGGGAATCAATACTGGGAACTTTATTAGTCAATGGGGAATGTGTTGACCTAACTAATGAGGATGAGTCATATATACAGCTGCATGTTCCAACAGTAGATGGAAGAGCCTCGGGAACTACATTTCATGCATGCGACTTGTTATATTAATATTACATAAGAAGTTGACTGAAAGATTTCTCAGCAGAGCGTGGATCATGATCCGCGACTAACGGAAAGCATAACTGTGCATGTTCAGGAAATCTCATAGCAAAGAAGGACCTGATATTAGCACTAAACATGTTAAAGTTAATGTTAAAGTTGACACCAAACAAAAGCTGGAAACAACGGTACTACTGTATTTTTGAGTGGAACAAGAAATTCGCATCACGTACGAAACCAAGTGGACACATGTTAAGCGTGTGATTGGTTGAGGAAGGTGTTGTAACAGTAACTCACCCGAGGGAAAATAGCTGCCAGCGAACAGATAGTAAGAATGAGGAGCAAGACTTCACCTATGGCCAGAGTCACATAGTTTGCAACCAACCTGTGCAGAGCAAAAATGACACAAGAAAACAGACACAAGAACATTACAAAACTAAGTAATACAGCAATAAAAAAACATGGCCATTCCTACCATAATGCTGATGAAACACCTGTGAAAAAGAAGCATGTTTGATTTCTATTTTATACTGTACTTCAAACTGTACTATAAAACTGCATTTGCACACTGAAAAAAACGGTAACATCTAAATTAACTGTGAAATATTATTTAATATTTCTGAATCAACCTAAATAAATAAATAAATTATTAAATCTATTAATTAATTAATTAAAGTATGCTGAAGTGTCCTTCTTTTTCACAAGGGTCTGCACAGATGAATCGAAATCAAATCAAAATCAGAATCTAACTGAATCAGGAAAGGAACAGTTCTCACTATTAACTAGCATGCGTATTACTAGCATGTTATTAGTAATAAAGCACATATTAATGCCTTATTCTGCATGACCATATTTTCGATCTTTTAACCCTACACCATACCTAAATTTAACAACTACCTTACTAACTATTAATAAGCAGCAAATTAGGAGTTTATTGGGGCAAAAATTGTGACCAAAGTTCATTTTAAATCATTATGTTTTAATAATCTTTTGTCATGTTTTTAAAAAGTACACTTATTTTGATGCATTGGCTAACATATTAAAGCACACATGAAGTACTTGATTATAATTTTAACTGAAGTGTGTTAGTCGACATATATTTTAAATGTACTAAATTGCAACTTAATCATTACAAATGTGTAATTACAAATATTGGTAACACTTTACAATAAGGTTCATTAGTTAACATTAGTTAACTACTTGCCTTGGAACTCTCCCATGGATGCCGTTTTTGCCCAGTCTCTTTCTTATTGTTGAATCATGAACACTGACCTTAATTGAGGCAAGTGAGGCCTGCAGTTCTTTAGCTGTTGTTCTGGGTTCTTTTATGACCTCCTGGATGAGTCGTTGTTGCGCTCTTGGAGTAATTTTGGTAGGCCGGCCACTCCTGGGAAGGTTCGCCACTGTTCCAAGTTTTCTCCATTTGTGGATAATGGCTCTGATCGTGGTTCGTTGGAGTCCCAAAGCCTTAGAAATGGCTTCATAACCCTTTCCAGGCTGATACATGTCAACTATTTTGTTTCTCATCTGTTCTTGAATTTCTTTAGATCGCGGCGTGATGTGTTGCTCTTTAAGCATGCTTCACTTTGTCAGACAGGTTCTATTTAAGTGATTTCTTGATTCAACAGGTCTGGCAGTAATCAGGTCTGCGTGTGGCTAGTGAAATTTAACTCAGCTTTCTAAAATAATGTGGTTAATCACAGTTCTTTCATGATTTAAGAGGAGGGGCAAATAATTTTTCACGTAGGGCCGGGCAGGTTTGGACAGCTTTTTTCCCTTAATAAATGAAATTATCATTTAAAGCATGCATTTTGTATTTACTTGCATTATCTTTGCGTAATATTAAAATTGGTTTGATGATTTGAATCTTTTAAGTGTGACAAATATGCAAAAAATAAAAAAAACAGGAAGGGGGCAAAAACCTTTTCACGGCACTGTATATATAAATACAATTTTCACCTAGCATTATTATTACTGACAGAACTTTTGTTCATTTATGCAAGTTTTTCAGGGACTGAAGCGAAATCCTTTGCCACTTTAATCTGTAAAGAACTTCTTAAGTAAACAGATTCCAGTGGCTTCAGAAAAGCTCCACATGTCAGTGTGTGAGATCATCATGTTATTACGCGTGTGTCCAGCTCCTCCGGCTCCTCCGGTGTGGTACAGGCCGTGTGGACGCTCCCATTGCACTCCGTAGTGTTGATCAGCAATGGAGAATTCCCATTAGACGACGTCACCGAAAGCTTCTGGAGAAAACCACCGGCGAGAGCGTGAGAATGAGAGAGACACAGAGAGACGGAAACCACAGTAGCAGGAAATGACACTCACTACTCCATTGATGCCGCTTTTGCCCACGGGTCCCTTGGGCACCACCACCAAGTACGTCTCAATGCCTCTTTCCTTCAGGTACTCGCAGCGGTCTCCTCCGTTCCCCGGCTCCACATCAAACTCTCCATGCAGACACTCCAGGGTATTCTGGGAGATGTGCACTCGCCTACCAGAGTTCAAACACAGTCTGAGTGCGTTACTGGCAAACATGACCAGCTGTTTCACTCATTACACAATACTTGCAGACAATGTTGCTGCTTAGCTGTTGAAAACTACGCTGCAAATTCACTAAATGGCTTCAGGATCCATTGCTGAACTTTTTCTGACCCACTTAAATAGGACTTAAGTGCATCTTTATATGTAATTTCATAATTACTTCTATTGTCTTTGAAATATGGCTAAAGTGTTACTGCTGAATGTGCTGACAAGCATTTATGATAAACTAAAATATACTTCAATGACATTTCTATTGAAACTTGTATGTCATGTATTTAAATGTTTGTAATTACGTATTTGTAATGAAGTTGAAATTGAGTACATTTAAAATATATTAACCTGAAACGTAATATCAAATAACACACTAATTAGAATCAAGTACTTTGCATGTGCTTTAGCATGTTAGTCAAAAAAACAAAAAAAAACAACAACAGTTTTTAGTTTTTAGATAATAATTTTTATTATTTCAGTTTTTCTATTGTTTTTTTTAAAGATATATAACAAATTTTAAAAATGTTGCACCTTTTTATATAAACATACATATGTATGGTATTGATGAACCATTGCAGCATGAAAAATGATTTTTTTTTCATCTTTTTTCAGAGTTTATGCAAGTAAAAGAATGTAATTATACATATATATATATATATATTAAAATTGTAATGAATTAAAAAGCAGTAAATGCTTTAATTAAAAAAAATTAAATGCAGTAATAACATGGTAACATTCAAACCTTTTAAACTGTTTCACAATCACTCATTAATAAGAAGATGTTGATCAGATACAATATGGTTTTAGTTGAAAAACTATTAAGTTATGACCCGAAATGTGAAAATAATATACACATTTTAAATGCATTATTAGGGCTAAGTGTGTTAAGAATTACAATCATGAAAATGTTAAGTATACTTAAGTGGCCTTTTATTTCATTATAATATTATATTATCTACAAGTAGAGTGTTTTTTAAATACACTTTTAAGATTTGAAGTACACTACAAGAGCACATTTAATATGATTAAGCGCACTTCTTTTTCCACAAGGGTGGGTCTCATTCTAGTTGGGTCTTACTACTGATTATGACAGATAAGAGTCTAATAATCAAACATATCTCCAGATGTTTCCAGAGCTCCTGAACTCAGACGGAGCTCATTTAGGGAGGAGTAAAGTTTACATGTGTGACGCGTTCACACTTATCTGAGACATTCCTTGGATCGCCGTCTGTCTTGAATGTCTCTCAGAAGGCATTCACACTTGATATGGCTAGTGAACGTCTAGTGAATTTCCCCTAGCATTCAGAACCAAACAACTGGTGAATGTGCAGGTTTTTACCCTGGTATTCCTCCTGCCTCCATCTTGTTGGCCACCGTCACGTCAGTCGACCACACGTCATACTGCCAGCGCTTCTGTCCGAGCACGCCGCCCAAAACCGTCCCAGAATGCACCCCGACACGCATGTCCACGTTTTGTATGCGATTAATCGTTTGACAGCACTAATTTAAATATATGTAAGAATATAATTTATTGATGTGATCAAAGCTGAATTTTCAGCATCATTACTCCAGTCTTCAGTGTCACATGATCCTTCAGAAATCATTATAATATGCTGATTTGCTGCTCAAGAAACATTTCTGATTATTATCGATGTTGAAAAGTTCTGAAGAACAGCATTTATTTGAAAAAGAAAACTTTTCTAACATTCTAAATGTCTTTACTGTCACTTTTGATCAATTTAATGCATCCTTGCTGAATAAAAGTGTTAATTTCTTTTAAAAGGGAGACCTGAATATATCGTTCATATTTTATCTCTTTAGGATTTAATTTGGATTTTAATATTTGTTTGAAATAAGCTGAAATCATGCTGATCCATCCACTGTAGTAAAAAATCAGTTTCTCAATAAAGAAAATGAATGTGATTTTACTTTAAACTCAACTGTTGCACTCTATATGAATAGCTTAAGATCATTAATCACCAAAAACAATTTCATCTTGTAAAAATGACTAAACGTGTGTTAAGAAAATATGAATACAGATAGCTCACATCTGCAAGCTTGTCGAAGCGGGCGAACAATTCGTTCAGCAGCTTCACCAGCTCCTGCGCGCTACAGGACGAGGACAGCTGTGTGAAGCCCACGATGTCTGCGAACAGAATACTGCAACACAAACACAGTCACAGTCAACTTCAAACAACCTGCAAATGACGACATCAAACTCTGGCTGCATTTACTGAAACGCTGCTCCTAATCGTAACAAACTGACCTGACATTCTCGTGCCGATACATGTACATTGTGTTGAACTGCTGCATCTCTTTCTGACTGGCTTCTTTCTTCATGTCCTGAAGCATCTCGTCTGCAATGTGCTTGGGTAAGATGGACAGCAGGAGACGCTCCTGTGTGCAGAAGAACAACCACTGATTAAACATCTATTCTATCTAGAAATAGATCTATTCAAACAATTCTGTACATAAACCACCTCGTGCATGTTTGCTTACTAAATATTAATTTGTATACTTGTATAAATATTTAAATTAACACACATTTTATCAAGTTTAATTCCATTTTTAATTGTTTAATTCCAAGAAAATTGTTATTGCATTTAATTCAATTTTTTTGAATCATGTTTCATTCCCCCACCCAAAAATAAAAATTGTCAGACTCTGTTCCCTGTTTTGTGTGTGTTTTGCTCCCCATGTGTTGCTATGCCCATATTTGGTCCTTCCTGTTTCCTGTTCCCATTATGTTCCCTGATTAGTTCCATTAGTTCCAGCTGTGTCATTAATTATCTTCATTTGCGCCTGTGTATTTAAAGTGTGTTCTGCCCCTCGTTTCCTGTCCGGTATTGTTTATGTCAACCTCCTCGGCTACGTGTGTTTTCCTGGTTCCCCTGACATTATTAAAGTCTCCTTGTTGATGTACTCCACGTCTCCTCGTTCCTCGCTCCCTCACAATAGCGATCATGACAGAATACTGGACCAAAACAGTAAGCGGCGCCCCTCTCCCCGTGTTTGTTTTCCATTTTTGAAAGTGTTTTCTTTTGTTTTCCCGTTTTTCCCCCGCGGCATGGAAACCGCTGCACGATTCGCCACGCCGTTGTCAAGCCCGCCGGCCGCCGCTGACCAAGGCCCGCAGGCCGCCCTATTCACCCGTAATCAGAAGAGGAGGATGAGGAGCAATGGATGGCTCAGGGTCCTCTTCCTCGCCCGAGACCACCCCCCAGAGCTGACTCCAGTGTCGGCTCCAGCCCCAGAGCGCGCTCCAGTGTCGGCTCCAGCCCCTGAGTTCGCTCCAGTATCAGCTCTATCCCTGACCAGTGTCGAGAGATGGCTCTAGCCCCAGACCAGTCAAGATAGGGCTGCAGTTCCCACTTCCAGCCCAGTGAGGGCTCCTGTTCCTGAGTTTAACCCACGGAGGGCTCCTGTTCCTGAGTTTAGCCCAGAGAGAGCTCCAGTCCCCGAGTTTAGCCCAGAGAGGGGTCCAGTCCCTGAGTTTAGCCCAGAGAGAGGTCCAGTTCCCGAGTTTAGCCCAGTGAGGGCCCCTGTCCCCGAGTTTAGCCCAGAGAGGGCCCCAGCCCCCGAGTTTAGCCCAGTGAGGGCTCCTGTCCCCGAGTTTAGCCCAGTGAGGGCCCCAGTCCCCGAGTTTAGCCCAGAGAGGGCCCCAGTCTCCGAGTTTGGACCAGAGAGGGTTCCAGTCCCCGAGTTTAGCCCAAGGAGGGCTCTAGTCCCCATGTCCAGCCCAAGGAGGGCTCCAGTCCCCACATCCAGCCCAAGGAGGACTCCAGTCCCCACATCAAGCCCAGGGAGGGCCACAGTTCCCGAGTTAGGCCTACAGAGGGCCTCTAAAGACTATATTCTCCCCAAGGATTTTTTTGGGGGGGGGGTAGTAGGGGTCCATCTGTGGAGGCCGGGCAGAGTGCTGAGGCCAGGCTCCCTGCTCCGCCATGGCCTCCTGAACTGTCTGCTCCGCCATTGCTCCCAGAGCTCCCTGCTCTGCCATGGCCCCTGAGCTCCCTGTGCCGCCATGGCACCCTGGACTGCCTGATCCACCCTGGAGGTATTCCCCGTGTCCCAGTCCTGCACCAGCCTCCAGGGCGCCCACCCCC